CCCCCCCCCGTTCGGCCGGCATGCATCTTAAGAAAGAAAGTATCCTGTAGACAAAATAGGGGCGTCGCTCCGTTTCAGTGATCCGTCTCGAGACAAAAGCTCCATCATCGCGCAGAAAACGAGAGTTGAGGTGTTATAGGAGGAGCTAGTTTTTGGTGTCCGGCGCCGGCGAGCGAATCTGATAGCACGGCGCGGACCACGCTTTCTTGATGGTGGTTGTGACATAATGGTGTGTTGTGGGTGGAGGTGTACATACGTTGTATCAATGCGAGGCACAATGGGAGGTCCGGAAATGAACATCTCGCGTTGTGACGACGTACGACATATGTACACACCACGGAGTATTTGCTCTTTAATCAGTAGCTTTCTCTGATCACCCTGGGCCTAGGTACTTTTGCGTAAAAGTGGACGATGAGGGCATATCGAGGGGGGAGGGATGAGGGTGAGGGGTGGTGGAACACCCCAAACAAACCGCAAAAGAACCTTGAGCACAACAGCTATCAACGAGGAGAAAGAGAGTGTGCGTGAGGAAGGCCAGAATGGAAAGAAAATGACGTCGGCAATGTCATATCTTCCCCGGAGGATCTGATGCCTGGCCCCAAACCACGGGACTCCCCATCGGCGCGGTTGTGGTGGTTCGCGGTCTGTGGATCACACGGGGTCTGCGGCCTTCTCAAAAAACGGCCTCTTGTGCCCGGCGACAATTCGAACTGCAACCCACTCACCACTTTCCACTCACCTCTGGACTCTGCTGGATACATTGTTGTTATGTTCCCGTCATGCCTGGGACCTACCTAGGCCATGGCTGCTGCCGCCTCGAGATACGACTTCAGGTTTGAGGTGGAGACGGAGTCTTCATTTGCCTCGGAGCGGCCTCTTCACCGAAAATTCCTTAGGGTCACCGCCGACCGCTACGAGTCACATGACCAGATTCTTTCAATATGCTGATTAATAATTACCATTCTCTGATTCCATTCTGTTCGCTTTGAGCCTTAAATTGGTCAGACGATTAATTACCGCGAGTCCTGAAAGCCAGCCCTACGACTGATGGATTATGTATTTCAATTGGCTGGGGAACGAGGGCTGCTGGCCTTAGTCAGGCCCTATGTTGACAACGGCTTTATCCGTTTCTCCTTCTATTTCTATCTCTAATCTTGACTTGGCTTCGTCATACCGGTCGTGGTGAAGGCACCCTCTGCGCGCACCGGTGCTGCGTATCATGATGATGCTGTCTCGGGGAGGGACTATTCTGGGTAAGAGCCCGGTCCAGTGTCTGATTACTGCTTGGGCATTCGTCGAGTAACCGCTGCTTTGCTGACGGGAATGTTTGGAACCAATGTCGACGAGATGAATATGAATGTGGTGACCGACCTTTTCTTCCCCACCTAAAATGTCTCGTGAGCGGCAGCGGCGGTGCTCAACATGTCCATGATTACGCCCACCGTTGTGTTGCATTCCTTAATGCCACGCACGCAGTCTGACGTGCGGAGGCGTGGTTCCATGAAACCTCTGCGAAGGGCACGCGAAGTACATATCGAAATCTGACTGCATGGTATGCATATCTCGTCATCTCTGGTCTGCCTATGATGCAATTACAAATGTCAACTGATGAGGGGGCGTCCGAGGCGTCGAGAAGAGGGTTAGTTTGACATCGTTGACGTCCCTCGACTTTCTGGATCTCTATCGCCCGAATCCGGGACATGAACGCGTTGATCCTCGCTTGTTTAGGGAGATGTGTATCGGTTGCCCCAAAGAGAGGTTACGGGCAGAGTGAAGGGCAGAATATCGTGATTGTGTCCGTAGCAAGATTGGTGTGCCTACAACGTAGCAGACGCTAGGCTAGGCTGTCTATTTTTGCCCAAGCTAGTGCTGGACCCGCTGCTCATGTGAACCGGCAATGAAAATAAGGTGTGCAGTGCTGGAGCCTTGATAGGCTAGATTGGTCGTCGCCTTGTCTTGGCCCAGAATTTCTTTTTCCCTTTTTGTCTTTCCCTTTTTACATTCTTCTTCTTCTTCTTCTCGTGGGACCAGCCGCAAACCGCCGTAGCGTCTTCAGCCTTGACCTCTGAACTGCCTAGTCCCGAAACCGCTCTCCTCCGACATTGATTGACATTAGACCCAGGTAAGCTAAAGGTAATTAACGGGCGGGCATTGCTACACATCCGGTCACGGTTAGAGGGTTCGCTGTGTCTGACCGATGTACCCTGCCCCCAACATTCGGGGAAATGCCGTGTCCTCTTAGTGGCCCCGGTTGTGTTAAAAGTGCGATCAGCGACTTGTCAGTGTCTATTTTCAGCACAGCCATCATGGGCGACTTTAATCATCCTCCACATATCGTACTACCCTGCCTCGAGTCGTCTTGTGGTCGCCGGGGGCCACAGGCCCACAGCGGGACATCCCTTAATCTTGCTGGGTCGGTGTGACACTTAATGATCGCGATAATTAGCCGACTAGTGCCCGAATGAAGGCGCTCTTCATTACGTTGTACATAAGTTAAGGTACCCAAGGTAATTACCGTCTTGGTCAGGGTACCAGACCAAATCAGCTTAGGGTCTTTTTATCGTCTGCCGATACCAATTCAGAGCCTGACGGGCCAACGATAAGGAGCCAAGCTGTGTCCGAGTGTCGCGTCTATGGCGTTTAGCATTGTGGTGCAGCGGCAAGGTCCTGAAATGAGAACACACAGTGCAGTCTAAAGAGCGCCACTGAGACTCGATGTCCCGTCTCTCCGAGAGGAACCCCACCGAAGCCACATCTCATTCCCCCGATCGAGATTAGGAGCTAAGAAAGGAACAAACACGGTGGGTCAAAGCCCAGTCGGTGCCGACACCGGGACAGTGGTAGTTAGTCACTGGCAATGCAATGGGGTGCTGCTTGCTTTCCGACAAGAGACCCCAATGCCAGCGCACTGGGTCGTCACAAGGACCGTAACGGCGGGCGTCGTCGAACACAGGCCTCTTTTTGTTGTCTCGTACTTGCATAGTATGGTGGGGTGGGGCGCCAACCTCATTACGTTGTACATTTCGTCTGGTCCTGCCCTTGAAGGCCTGGAGATACGAAGTACTTAGAAGAAACCCGGCATTAACAACCGGCCCCTACCTACCTTAGACGTTGAGGTATAGAACACGCCGAGACGTTTTGTTCTTCTTTCTTATTTTTTTTTCCGTAAGGTCAGTCCTGCAATGAGCCATTCTGCGCAGAAGGTACGTCGTACGTACCTCAGTCGCGTTTGACCTTTTGTCAGACAAGGGTGGGCAGGGCCCCATGTTGGACTGTGCCAAAATAACAGCCCTCCTTTAAGATGCATCGATTCGTTCTATCGTCCCGCGAATTTCTGCTAAACGCCAAATGCATCTGCCCCCAAGCGACCAGCCAACTCGGACCATGGATGCAAGCAGGTTCGCTTATGCGCGGATGGACACAGTTGGCGATGTCTGTTCCTGGAACGACGACTTTTGAGGGGGCTAGGATACCTTAGGTAGCCTTTACCTTAAGCAGCAGCCTGAAGGTCTCACCATGATCGCGCCAATGCCGAATCGCCATCCACTCATAAAAGACCTTTTCTCTTTCCTTGATTTTCTGAGTACTATCAAGTTGCGGTGAGCTGTAAGGTGTGGATAAACGCTCCCTCTAAGAAAGACAGCCTTTCCCGATATGCTGTTGTCACCCAATCCAGCATCCACAGACATCCCTCCCATTTCTTTTCCAATGGGCGATGAACTGGCAGGTGATGAGTGTTTGTTTTGGGGGAAAGAACCACATAGATGGGGCTTGAAGTTGGTACTCTGATCCAGTCTAGGCAAATGGGATAGGACAGCGGCCTCACACAACCCACAGATTGTCTGCGATCATCTGACATACTGGATCAGGTTGGCCCCTGAATCAGGAAGAGGGGAAGGATAAAAATGGACTACGATACACAAGTTGACGAACCTTGGGGGTCTCTCCTGCCGGATGACAATCAATCTAATATCGCAAGTTCGGGGTCGGTCAGATTAGGCCTCGCCGCTCCTAACCCCATTATCGCTGGTTGGTCAAGAGGAAAAGAGAACTCCTTGGCCCCTTCATATCTCACTCCCTCTTCTTGTGACTTGGCCGTCATCCTGGCTCATGGGGTTATAGAGTGTGTACCGTGTACGTTGTAAGATGCACCGCGCTTATTCGGTCTGCAAGAAGTGATCTGCGGCAACTAGGCGCAGTCCGCCTCAAACACGAGTTGAGGGTAACGTTGTGGCTGCCGCGATGATACCCCAGGAACGGTGGTGGCGCCCAAAAGGGAGAGGCGTAGAAAGATGGTTTCGAAGAAGATTTCTGAAATGTCTCGATATGGACCAAAGTGCAATGTAAGTGCCCAGGCACTGTGGGCAGACAAACTTGAGAGGTACGTACCTCGGCCTCGGCCTCGGCTGCGCACGGTATGCACGAAGTACGTTGTAATTACACGGATACCATTTTTGGTCTTTTTCCTCCCCGCAAGTCCGGCCCGCTTCGAGGATTGGACGGGCTACTGTGTACTCGGTCGAACACAAGACCCACCGACCCACCTCACTGCTATCCACACAGTGGACCTCTCTAGCCCTATCTACGAAGTTACGAAGTACAAAGCTCCCCCGCCATGAATGGTCTTCTCTGTTGAAGAGAGAGTTCGACACACCACCAGTGCCACCCCCGTGCCGTTTCGTGGATCCGTACTACCTTCCTCTTCCTCTTCCCTGCTACACCATGAACCAAAGTAGCACCCAAATCTCATCTCTTCTCTTTTTGTCTCCCTTCGACCCCCGAAAATACGTTGATACAGAAACAGAACACGCGTCAACAAGGGTCGGCATCCTCCCTCATCTGTCGAGGGTCTTTCCCACGTTTTTTTCTTTCTCGCCGACCTTTCTGTTCTTTACGATCTACTACTGCTCCGTACTAAAGTCCCTTACGATGCGCCCCGTCCGCATGACGAGGTTACGTTCGTTACGGGCGTAGACCCCTCCAAGCAGAATTCGCGACCGACGATCTGGAATTACCCGTGTGTGTGCTCTGGTTCTCTTCGCTGCCTTCACCCCAAGTTACAACATATATACGTATGTTCGCCGACTATATGCGGTGCCTGTCTCTCTGAGACGCATAATATAACATATGGGGGTGGACATCCTGGTACGTGCATGTATGTGCCCATCTATATATGCATCCAGTTCGTTCACAGTTCGCACAGCACGGCTACGGACTGACTGCCGTTCTCACGGCAAAGAGAGGACCTCATCGTCTATCTATGCCACGGATCCTCCCGCGAAGCCTCGATTTCGACTGAGGTGACTTGCCATGTGGACTGTCCGGGTTGCCCTGCTGTGCCATTTCGATACCCCTTTTCCCGGAAACTTTTCGGGAGCTGATAAATGATCTTTGCTTCGAATATCTACTGTACGGTTAAGTGCGCAAACATACCAACCTGGAAGAGCAATGCGGAACTCTGAAGTACGACGTACGAATACAAGTGTAGGGCTGGCCTGAGTCTCCAGTCTCCAGTCTCCAGTCTCCAGTCTCCACAGACTTCGCCCAGCCTTACGAAATTACAACTGATCAATTGACTTGCCTTCGGAATGGTGAAAGGCCGGTTCGAAGCAAGAGTACGTTGTATTACGAAGTAAAATGGACGAGAGCTTCACTGGCTCGACGACTGGCCTCACTTTCTAAAAGAGAGTCGACGGGGACGGGGCCAGGACCTGAGCCTATCGATCCCTCTTCATGGTCCATTTCTCGACTTCAACTGTGTATGTACTTTGTGCACCTTCTCCCACTATGAAATACTTCGTACATACATACAAAGTACTCCGTATATCTCGCTGTTCGTCCTGGATGCTCCGCCAGAAAGACAAATCTGGTCGTTCGAGTATGGACACCCTCTCCCCCACCCCCCCTCCAACTTCGCACATCGTCTCACTCAACCCTCCTCATCCCTGACCCCATGCCTTGGCTTGAACCCGCTAGGGGGTTGTGGTTAAGGTCGTCAAGGTCTTCTTCCTCCCGTCTCTAATCCCTGTAGCCCACCCATACCAGCGAGGTACCCCTGCTCCCCATTATATCTACGTTGTATCTGTTCCTGAACCCTTGTCGTCGACCTTGGGATCTTCTGTACCTCATCTTCAAGTACAAGCCCCTTGTACGGCAAGTGCCGTTCAAGTCTGGCCGATTCTCCGTCCACCCATCCCAACCCTGAGAATACACACATCCAATGTTGGCATATTACGGGCCCCACCCAAGATTCACTGCCCTTCTTGCCATTTATACGACGCCTAGCCCTCTCCTCTCCTCTCCTCCCCGAGGTCTGGGGCTGAGATCTCAACCATCAGAAGCTTCCAAATATCATCAAGTACACACCGTTGCTTCAAGTTCCGAGTCCAACCAGTCCAACCTATAGCGCAACCCATCTATTTGTATCTACTCGACAAAATTCAGCAAGCGCATACGTGAGACGCCTACCACGCAAGACTCGGCATTTTCTTTTTCCTTTTTTTTCTTCTTCTTTTTTTCAGAACGATCATATTTGGTTGGTTACTCAACAGGCAGCTGCCATGAGGTGAGTGAGGAGGATAACACGCCCGCAACAAAAACGTCACGAGCCGAACTGTGCGCTCACATATCTTTCCTAGCTCCGTCGCTGCGCTTCCTTACGGCTCTACCTTGGCCATGGGTCGTCCCCCCTTCGCCTGGCCAGGACTTGGTACACCTGAACCCGGCAACCCTATTCTCGCCCAGAGCTTGCCTATCAGCCCTCCCTCAGACCCCAGTCTCAGCCCGCACAGCGAGTCCAGGTCACTTACCTCCAGCCCGCCTCGAGGTTTCATGACCGCTGAGCAGCGCGGGTTGAAAAGACAAAGGGATCAGGCTCGCCGCGAATCCAAGACTTCCGTCCGCGCCCGACGTGCCGGTAGTAACCCTTACATGAACTCGCCCCCTCTGACTATGCCCGACGTCTCCGCCGCCATGGGTCTCCCCATGTATTCTTCATCGCCATCTCCCGCCTCTCTTCTCGATGAGCCGACTTCGGGCATGCCAACTCCCACATATCTACCACCATACAGCCCACCTATGCACGACAGCGGCTTCCAGACCGGGTATCCGGTCATGTCTCCGGGTTACATGGGAATGGACTACTCAGCAGCATTCCAGCCTCCTCCTTATGCGTGAGTCTCATTCATATTAGGGTCCTTCTCACGACACTCTCCGCTAACCTCGTTTTCTTTCCCCCACACCAGCCGACCTTCCCCCATGCCCATGCCTCCTTCAGACCCGTCCATGATCTATGGAGTTCCTCCTGCGATGACGGGTGGCAGTGGGCCCTCAGACCATGGTCACGTGAGAGTCGTCCAGAGCCGACCCAAGCCTCAGTGCTGGGAACACGGTTGCAACGGCCGGCAGTTTTCCACATTCAGCAACCTCCTCCGTCACCAACGAGAGAAGTCAGGACAGGCGGCGAAGGCGACGTGCCCAAACTGCGGCGCCGAGTTCACGAGGACAACAGCGCGAAACGGCCACCTGCTCCACGACAAGTGCAAGTCACGCCGAAACGCAAACAGCAGCAGCAACAGCAGCATCAGCGGCAATAGCAGCTCATGAGGCCCGAGCGAGGCCCACCACCTCAAGTCAACGCAATTTTGCGGCCTTCACATGTACAATTTGAGAGGTTTAGGGGGTTTTCAAACTCGTTGCTTTTTCTTTTCCGTTTTCTCAAGGACGAGACGAACATTATGGGACGCGATACATGAAACACGCGGAAGAGACAGTGCATAGGAGGCAGCTATATGACGTGCTATCTGACCTGCTATCAGAAAGCAGGAAGGGATGCATGGGGAACATGCACAAGTCGGGAGGCGGAATTGGACAACTGGAGTTTTTGCGACCGGACATGGAACATGTTCGCTTTGGGTATATACCTGTCAGGCTGGGAGGCACTTTTTATTTTTTATTTTTTTGATGGGGGGTTTTTTTTCCTTTACATTCAGCGTTCCAGTTTTGTTTTCCATACTTTTCTGTCTTCATCTATTTCACTTTGGTAGAAGGTGCTATAGAAGGCAAGGCAAAAGCCGTCGGCCAGGTCGACATTTGTTCTATACAGGGTGGGATGGAGGCGGGACACCTTATTTTAGAATAGCCAGCAAATCGTCCAGGACTTCAGAGAATATACGAAGCAGCCCCGTTCGTTCTGGGCATGACGTCTATGACGGTTCACAATCCATGGCCTTGGTGAATTTCCGGTCTTGTCTAAACTTTGTGCGCTTTGTCTCCTCTCCGCTCTGTCCTATTGTTGACCTTGGTTCTCCCGTCCATTACGTTGTATGCGTCAACTTCGTACATACGTCGATCTCTGGTATGAAAATGTACGGGGTTTTCCGTTGGTGGTGGGTTCCGGGCCGGGGCCAGCTCTTAAGAAGCTTTAGCGACATTGCACACTAGGACCGGCATAAGATCAGACATGGGTACGGCATAGTTCCATAGACCTCCCAGCCCTGTCGGCGCAGTTGCCTAGTTAGGATTAGCGGCATTGAATGACGCCCTGCCCGTTGTTATTCGTGTCGCTGGGAGACCTCCAAAGTACCGCCGAACGGAGACCGGGGCAACTTGGTTCGTAGAAGTCAAAACGCTCGGCTTACTAAGGTACCTTATTTAATTGGCATTTCCGGAGTTCGCTTCAGCATCTCGTACTTCCTACCTATAAGCATCAAGTGTTCGTCCCCACACATACAGGACCTTACTAAGTCGATACAAACGAACAACGTACCCACTCACCCCGATCAAGCTCGCTCCCGCCCCCGCCCGTTCCGTGTGGCGGCCGGCACATATGGGGGAAATAGCCCTCACTGGTCGAACGGCTCTTACGAATACAACATGCTCAGTACGCAACCGATATGGGCTTAGTCGCTCAGCCCCAGGGGCTGAGTAACCGTTTTGCCCAAACCCGCAACTCAGCTTACCACACTTGAGACAATATGAATTGTAGGTGTGTGTGCGTGATGCGCGTATGTGGATGAGTGTGTATATCTCACGCTCTGTATGAATAGGATAATTGAATTTACGTCGTATTTGAGGACCCGTCTGAGGACGGACGGTGGGATAAACGACGTACTGTGAGTGGTAGATTCACTGGCACGTTTTTGGGACTTTGCCTTGAGAGACCGACCGGGGATGATTGGGACGGCGGGAGGAGATGTGGACCTGGCATTTTCGGATCTGCCCGTGGGCGTTCTCTCTGCTGCCGCACCTGCTTAAAAGGAGACGGGGAAATAGGGAAATAGACAAGACCACGAGGCGCGACGACTGGCAGATCAGAAAAGTGATGCAAAGGCCGTCTTATCAGGACGCTAATGCGCTGAACAAAAGCACGTTATTTCATGCTCCCTCGCTCTTTTCGATATCAGACTTGGCATCTGGTCTCCTCTCGCTTGCGATCATCTACGCCATGTCGGGGCCTTGGCGGACGATCAATGTGGGAATCACCCCGAGGACGATAACATATTCCATTTGGCAGGCACTGGCTGGATTTGGCATGCCCCATATGATCCATACATAGCATAGCAGTCGGGTCTGACTGTCTTACTCTAAAACCGAGTAATGTCGTAGCCGTCCAACACTTCCAAAGATTGCAATTGACACCTTCATGGTGACATTCGTTCAGCCGCAAGGATGTTACGTGCCGGTTCGTAATCAGACGACGAGGCGGACTCGCGAATAATTATCACACCTTCGAGAAGCCTAGAATGTCACCGTGTTGAAGTGTCAATCCGCACGTCTTACGCGTGTCCACGTCCTAGTGCGATATATCCTTTTTGGCCGATATCGCGCGCACGCGAGATAAAGACGCTATGTAACCCTTTTAAGGCAGACCGAAAGTGTAATAATGGTGTCGTAGCAGCAATAGTGGGTAAGTTGAGGGCGTTTTGGGAGGGGTCGAATTCGGCGGAGACAATAGGTAACTCCGTACCTTACCTGGTCCGTCAAAGTACATACAATCAATATATATGTACACCACCCCACTTCTTCTCACCCCACCCCCTAAACAGCCACTTCACTAACAGTGGCCAGAATACACGTGCGCTCTACGTAAGGCACGGCTATCGCACATGCATGTAATCAAACAAAAGAAAAACGAAAGCATTTAAACGAATAAGGGTGCCATAGAAGAGGAAGAAACCGCCGAACACTTTCCGGTCCCGAAGGTGCTCAGAGCGGGTGGAGGACGCACAAGACAAGACGAAACCTTAGGGTGCATCTCCCGCTTCTGCGCCCTGTGGCAAATTCCGTGGCTTTAATACAAGTCACATTTGATAAGGTTACATAATACCACTCACCAAACTACGGGCAAATAGGTTCATTATCACTATCAAATATACCTTACTTCCTCGTCGAGAACCAGACCTGGCCCGTCTCCCAAGCCCCTAAGGTAGGTAGGTATTCAAGAAATTGCATGTGTATGTGGTGTTTTACGTACAGCGCCACGGCGTATGTACTCCCTATCTTCTCTTCCCGTCCCTCCTCATTATCAACCCCCCCGGCCCATCTTCACGGCTATCTTCTTAGTTTTCAGCCACTCGATCACGGCAGATGTCTCTCTGCCGCCAGACAAAAACGTGGTGCCCCTAACTCAGGACTGAAGAGGTTGCAGCTAGTTAATCGTTGGGTAAGATATTCCCATGATTTTACAAGGGCTTTTACGGATGGCAAAGTACTTATATCGAATCGGAAGGGGGCACACCCCTCCTCTGTATATATGTACCGAACGTATCTTGAAGAAGCTCGTTTCTAGTTCCACTCCGCTCGGATGCGATACAGGGATAAGAAATACAACGTAAAGGGCCATCGAAGAAGCGGTATGAAATCTATGAAGCTTTCCCCCTCCCTGAGATCTACTAAAAGTGCCGTATCTTCCACGTGTATGTCTTTATTGGCCGGCCTCTCCGTCTATCATCGTCGCCCGGGCTCCCCTCCCCCACCTTCAAAATGCCTCCTCCCCCCCGCGTCCAATACCGCGGTGGATGGGTTCCTGCTTTTGTCTCGAAATCGTGGTAATTGATGAGCATCTGCCCCAAGTCGGCACTGATATAGGGGCATCCGCTCGCCAAAGCGGACAAGAATCAGAAACGTCTGAGCGATCCCTGGGTATCAGAGCCCGACCTCGAGCGAAGTAGGCAGGTAGTTGTTGTGCTGGCATTCGTGATAAAATGTCTGTATTTGATGACGGCTCCAGAGACAGCAACTGCGAGGCTGCAGCATTCTTGATTTAAAGCTCTGATAAACTTATCAGGCCGATTGGCAAGTTGCAGGACTGGACTACCCCCGATATTCCATGACATCTGGTCCGTCCCTTATACAGGTTTGCGATCAGCTGAAGGGCGTAACGAGCTCTATGCAAAGAGCTTTAAAGCACGAGCGTCTCCTGCAGACCAGACGAGTTTCCCGTCTTTGTTTTCCCGGCTCGCTTCAAGGGTGCGACACTGCCTACGCATGCGACCAGATACCGCGCCATGCAGTGATTTTGGGATAGCACGCGGGGGAAAAGCAAGATGCCAGCCGCCCGTTCGAGACGAGAAGGTCGGTGAATGGACGGATGGATGGTCGACACGTGCTGCTAAGTTACCTCCCCAGCACTCCGACTCCAGGGATCCACGTTTATTAGTTATGCGGGTTCCGCGTGGGAAAAGAGCTTGGGACGACGGTAAGGAGGGGTTGGCATGCATGGGGACCTGGGAGAAACTGTGGAGTACGGAAGTACGAGAATGGAGGGGGGTGTCTCGAGTAACCCCGGCCATGGCGAACGATCATCACGTCAACATCGTCGACATGTCTCATGAAGCCAGGGCTCCCTTGGTCAAGACATGCCGCGTCCGCATTCGGGCGAAGGGGGGGGGGTGGTGGCGTTTATGCCAAGACTATTAGTGGGCTTCTAGTCCGCCCAGCAACCGTTCCAGGACAAGGGGAGGGGTGGCAGTGGGGCACATTGTAGATCTACGGTGGAGTCTGATTTATACGTAGGTATATATGTATGAAAGTAGACGTACCGAGCTACGGTACCTTACCTAGTGTTGCCTAATACAGGTTAGTACGTGGTATACAACGGTTACAGGCGTTGAAATCGGACCTCTTGAAGTACTACCCACTAAAGAGCGGGTACGGTCTGACCCTGGTAGTGGGGCAGGTACAAAAACGATACTGGCCGGGGGGGAGGTCCAAAACCGAGTACCTCTAGAAGTCACGATTGCCTTGCCTTTTTAGGTTGAGGGCCCGCTAATAACGCTATTCCCGATTAGCTCCCCTAATAAGCGGGTTATTAGCTGGCAGGGGCCCTATAAGGTAATAAGAAGTCACTGTTTTAGCGCGTATTAGCTCGGTACAGGAGAGAGTCCGATTTTTACCCATGTGTACTGTATACCCCTGCGGCCCAGCTGGTGCCTAAAATAGCATTAAGACGGTGCGAATATCCCCCGGCTTGCTACTGTAAGGTAGTTCACGGTGAGGCTTATGCTTTGATATTCGCTAATTCTTGTCGAAAGCAACGGGGAAGGAAGATGGGAATAGACAACAGACTGTATGGTGTTCGTACATATATGTAGATAACTTTATCCCAGTATCTGTCGATGCGCGTTGATGGAGAAGTGGGTATGCACTTGTTGAAGATTCCGTTGCGTTATCTGCGTTATCTACGGGGCCCGCTTTTGGCGCTGATGTTTTCCTAAGGTACCGTAATAAGGTACTCTGTACCTAGGTACCTAGTCCTGCTGAGCAAAGGCGTGGATTTGTGTATATACCTACCCTGCGTACTTCATTTTATGCCTTACAAATACTTACGAAATAACGTGTTGCAGCCAGTTATTAAGGTGTTCGCCGTATCCGAACTTCTTGCGAAGTTGCGGCAGTGCGCCCGTTCATGATGACCACAACCGCTCGGAGCATGCCGCAAAACCATCTGCAAATTTGCAAGGTTGAGATGAGAGTGTTAATAATTATTACTGTACTCCCCACTCCACACAATAACAGCATACGTCGTACTGCGGTCTCGACGCCAGTTGGTAAACGGGATAACGGCCTTGAGGCCGTCGGTCATGCTGCTTTGCCGATCCGTAGCGCGGAATTTGCGACTTTGCGGGTGTGGTGAAATTACAACGACCCATTGGGTACGCGAACGGGGCGCAGAAAAGGGACTTTTGTCGAGAGCGCCCGTATGCGAGACGGATAATCCCGGAGCCGAGCTGCTATGTGTTTTGTATGGGAAATCGAACCATACAACATACAACGTAACTAAAACTGTCAAATATCAAATGTATTAGTCGGTGATTACGAGACACAGTATTCGGAACGATGAGGACGAAGATCTGGTGCCATATCGGCCAGGTTTCCTGGCCAGAAATTGCGTCTTTAAGTAAGGGGTCCACGGCAGATGATGCATGGCTTAATACTGTTAATATGGCCGGAAAATAACCTGAAGAGATTCTTGGTTTTCTCGAAGGTAAGGTCGGGATGAGATTTCGACGAATAATTACACCCACGACACATGCCCATTTGACGCAATTTGATTTGTGAGTTTTCTCACAACCCACCCTACACAGTGCCAGCGCCAGGGTTGTTTCCCTACATCTTCGTAGAGCAGGGGCATTAATGCCCGGTTAGGTGGCTCGGTAGATGCTGGCATGGCGTTTCGTCCTGTCCAGATGTTCGTCGGACTACAACCTGAAGTACACAAGGTTCTAGGTAGTTACTTTGTGGTGTCCGTAGGGCCTGATGATACAACTGTACGCTACCGAGTACAAACACGCAGAGACTACTTCGTCGACAACAAAAGAGACGCATAGACCTGACCTGTCCCGTCGCTAGACCGGGTGTCCTTTTGCTTCAATTCCCCTCACCCCTGTACCTTGACTTCTCCGTGACTGGCAGCGCTCTGTTTGCTCTTCAACTTGAGTGCCGAGAGAACCTGGATGAAACAAATTGGCAACGGATAATTAACGCTTGGGACCCTATTCTATCGGCCTTTCCGACGACACTCTAGGGGCGGCGGGCCTGAACGACGAGGATTGGGGAGTATTGACCGCGGCTTATGTGCGTTAACAGTTTCGGTCTCTGATTTCGAGAACGAGCGACACATGAATGAGGAGACCGGGATGGGGCTTCGTAGATTGGTCAAATTGCTCACAGTTTTTTAGGGGCTGAGAAAATCATTCAGGTTCCAGACGATTCCTGGTTTGACTAATACTCTGTAACATCGGTGACGAATTCATCGCACATAGAGTAGTATGCATGCTGTGCGATTACGAGATACGTCGTGCATAGAAGGACTGAAACTCCTATGCGTAACTAATGATATATATCGCAGGATCTAGGACTAGGGATGTAACAAAGTTTCTACTTCGTAAGCACTCTGGGTATAGTATCTAATATGAGTTCTTATTCTGGAATCTTTCGTCCCGATCGCGCAGACGAACCCCAATATAGTGATACCCCCGACTACACACGTCAGGATATCGTCGCTTCTTCGGTCGTATCTTGCACAGAAACCGTAGATGACACTGAAGACGAGATCGAGGAAAAGCTCAGTACAGACTCCGCTGTCCAAGCGGGAATCATCTCATTGTGACATATGTATCGAATATCTTTGACGGCGCCAGAAACAGACCAACCAGTCTTCCCATGTGGTCTGAACCGTAGAGAGGGGCGTCAGTCCGCCCTGAGAAGTGGAGCAATATCAACCGTTCGTGACACCGGTAGACTAGACAGTCGAGCTGTTCAGTCCTGTGATGCACATGTTTCCCGACCCTGACCGTCGTGTGTCGCTTGCGACCAACGGGCACGCACCGTCTCCTAGGAATGACCGACGCTTCGTGTGCTAGCGCTGACGCGGAAGCAAACAGCTGCCTGCGCAATGATGACGGTCCTACGGAGTAATTGATCAGTCTCTTATCGACTAGGAAGGGTACCTTAGGCAGGCTAGCGCCATAAGCGAGCACGTAACGTCGCTTCTCGTGGGAACGATTCGCGAGCGTCCAATGTTACGGGGTGAGACGAGAGTCTATTAGTTCGTGTAACGCTGAGGGCATTGCTGAGTGTGGTCGAAGGTTGATATCTCCGGTGTCCCATCCTGCTGCACATTCGTAAGACTAGAGTAGCATTTCTACCACGATAGACTAGGATTCTGCATAGTTCCACGCATATACTCAATGTACTGTAGATGATTGAATTGGCAGTGGAGAAGCGTGATAATGAGTAGAAGTGTTGTCGCCTTGAGGCATATCCTTAGTCCCTAGACCATAATGTGTATCCGCACTGAAGGTACGTTGTAGTGTATACCGTCGAGTGGAACGAGGTAGGCAGGTGGCTGGTAAGGGGGTGAAGGGGCAAACGAAACGGAGCACGAAGTTCTCCAGTAAATTCGCGTGGTCGGAGTGTAGAGTACAACGTATCTACCACAGCTATCCATACTGTACGGTCACTCCAGAGCTGTGGGTCTCCCGGAATTTCCCGCTGGTTCGCACGGCGTAGTCCCACTCAAGCCTAGCCGCGTTTGTCGGTTAATTAAGCGCCTCGCGCGATAGGCTAGAAACGCGCCCCGCGTATCTAACCGACGGGACCAACAACACGTCACACGTCCCTTCCTTGTTCGTGGCAATTTCAGACGCGGTAAACAACGCCGACTCACCATCACGGACCTGAAGTGAGAGAGTTTTCTGAAGAAGCAGCGAATCATCACTTCACGATTTTGCACGACGAGATGATAATCTGGGCATAGTGCGTGTATGTGGGTTGTCGACCGGGCATGCCAGGCTTTAGGAGTTATCCTTGGCAGAACACCAGCATTGAACTCCTACGCACCCCCCACTGACGACATTTCCCACCCTACCGGGCATGATGGCAACGGCTGGCGCTTCCACATGGAGGGGCCAGAAGCATAGGGTGTTCCAGTCTGTTTTTGACACCGACGTATCGCAGCCGACGCCTCACACGACGCCTTCGTTGAGAAGCACCGAAAAGGGGCAGCCTTTTGGCGGGCCCCCTCCTCCGACTACGCAGTTTCCGTCTCCGTCTATCAGCCAAAAGGCGCTAGGTCTTGCAGGTGTCGATCCGCTAGGGAGAGAATTCTCGCCTCCGTCCGTCCCTATTACCGATCAAGTCCGTTGGGACCGCGCATGGCATGCCGTTACATCTCGCATTCAGCTACCCCCCTCGGTTGCCGCTGAAGACTCTTTCGGCGACGTAAGCCCAGAGCTCCAGGACCCAGACCATTCCTTCTACGACAACATTAGACTCGTCCTGTATCCAGAGCGGTACGCCCCCCATGCCGCACACACCGAGGATCTTCTCTCCTGGCACACCCAGCAGGCGCGCCAGCACCTCGTGCACCATGTTCTGCCCTTGATTTCCGCTTGCGGTGACTACGCCGACGAGGCACAGGGTCTTCTGGGTAGTATCCGCACCTTGGAAGCAGCACATAGACAGTACCTCTACGGACTCTCCCTCATAGTGCGAGGCCTGGACGGAAGGACGGCAGAGATGGCTTTGGACAAGTTTCGCCGCGACCTCCATGCTATCATTAGCAACGCCGTGTCACCCTCCCTTGCGACCACCCTCCGCAATGTACTGGGCCGCCTAATGAGGGTACTTTTGAAAATGGACCCCGTTCCTGCCGATCCTCTTCCCTCACCTTCTCGACACCGTGCCCTCAATGCACGTCGGGCAGAACAGCACGTCGAAACTGCCAGGCGAGAGTTCAGGCAGCTTGTGGAAGCGCTGCACCATGTGGGACTAGCCGGGGAGAAGTTCCAGGTCCTCTTTGCCGAGATGATGGACGCCTTGATGGCCGAATACGTGCAGACCTCCTTTGCCGGGCTGTGGGCGCAAACGCACAGGCAAACGACGACCCGCACCACTGGAGGCGTGGCGCGCTCGACATCCTTGCGGCGTGCGGCGCGGACCAGCACACCCTCTCAGTGCATAGCTTCCCTCTGCGATTGGGTGGAAAACCATTACGCGCGCCTAGCGGTCGAGGTGTTCAACTGCCTGGGGAGTTGCGAAGTGGCCTGGAAAGACGTCGAGGATTGGAAGGAGATTGCCGTTGGGCGGCTAGCGGTGATGCGCATGCACGAGCTCTTCGACATGGTCCTCCATTGGCCCGAGAGCAAGGACGCCCTGGAAGACCTGCGGATCGCGGTCACCACGCCGCAACGTCGCTTGCAACTGACCGACACCTTCGCGGCCGCCTTGCAGAAGCGGCTGCTGCACCCTGGCCGGTCCACCTTGGACATCCTTCAAGTGTACATCTCCATGATCCGTACTTTCCATGCGCTAGACCACTCCAAAGTACTCCTCGGCAGGGTGGTCCATTCCCTCCAGTTGTATCTCTGTCAGAGAGATGATGCCATCCGTATCGTGGTCACGGGGTTGTTGTCTAACCCAGAGGACGCGGATACGGAGGCTGGCAGGGGGAAATTGGTCGAGCTAGGCGTCCTCCTGAATGACCCGGCGCAGCAACATCGGTCGGTCATGGACGATGAAGAACTGGACTGGGATGACATGGAATGGCTCCCCGACCCTGTCGATGCCGGCATCAACTACAAGCGGCCCAAGACCGAGGATGTCATCGGCACCCTCATTAACGCGTTGGGCTCTAGGGACATCTTTATTAAGGAATTCCAGAACATCATTGCGGAGAGGCTCTTGTCCAAGCAAGCGGATTTTCCGCAAGAGATCAAGGTTTTGAATCTTTTGAAGAAGCGGTTCGGGGAGCATGCCCTTCAGGGCTGCGATGTCATGATCAAGGACATTCAAGATTCCCGAAGAGTGGATGCGGTGGTTTCCCGAAATATTAGAGCCGCCATCGGCTTGGGCTCACCCGACCGGAGGGCCGGGGCGATTCCCTCGTATCATACCAGGATTCTCTCGCGGCTTTTCTGGCCTACACTAGACCGAGAACACTTCCTGCTACCCCGGCCCATCGCGGAGGTGCAGCGCCGCTACGATGTAGAGTACGAACAGCTCAAGTCGTCCCGCAAGCTGACCTGGCTCAACAACCTCGGCACAGCCACAGTGCAACTCGATTTACAAGACCGGTCCATCCATACGGATTGTAAGACGTACGAGGCAGCAGTCATCTACGCTTTCCGAGAAGAGGAGGACAACTCCGATGCGCCTGTGCAGCGGACAGTCGCTCAGCTTGAAGAGATGCTCCAGATGGACGACGACACGATCCGGCTGGCGCTCCGGTTCTGGGCATCCCAACGTATCGCCCGCGAAGTCGCGCCGGATACCTTCGTCGTCCTGGAACGGCTGGAGGATGACGACGACGCCACGGCGGGCGCGAGCGCGGGAGCATCGCGCGGGGCGTCGGGGCCGCCCGAGGGCCCAGCGCGCGATATAGCCTCTCCGAGCAAGAGCAAGGGCGGGGGCCTGAACGCCCAGGAGCGGGAACGGCGGCAGGTGTACTGGCAGTTCATCGTCGGCATGCTGACCAACTCGAGCCCCGCGATGCCGCTGGCGCAGATCGCCATGATGATGAAGATGCTCATCCCCGACGGGTTCCCCTGGGGCAACGAGGAGTTGCAGATGTTCCTGGCGGAGAAGATCGCCGCCAAGGAGTTGGAACTGGCCGGTGGGAAGTACCGGTTGCCCAAGAAATGAGAGGAAACACGGCGACACGAGGGAATGGCGTAATCTTCGACAGGGGCGCCATGCCGTATGATTCATTCATTCCCGCCGCAAAAGATGATGGGCATGCGCTATCTCGCTCCTCCGAAGACCTCTCCTCTCAGCTGCGGTTTCGGACAGACCACGAAAACAAACAGCTACGCCACGCCACTGCGCGAAGGACCAAAAAAAAAAAAAGCATATTGGCTTTGAGTGAGTGAGAGCTACCCCTTTGCATCAGGTTGCTAGCTGCTGAATTGAGGAATGGTATGACTCTAGTTTCACCTCCCATTCTCTTTTGAAGCCTAACTACCTAGGAAGACATCGTTACGGCGCAATCAAGGCTAGGGGAGGCTGGCAGGGCGAGGCGAATATGCGTGTCATTACCACCGCTAGGGGTCAGTCATACTTCATATGCTAGAAACTCTGGCAGTATGACAATCTCGGCGCAACAGCAGCAGCAACAATGAGGCAAGAGGCAACCAGGCAGGGAATGCGGGCGGCGAACATATCGTTGCAAATAATAAAACTATGGCGATAAACCAATTCGCCGAGAAGGCAATCAACCTCCGATGACAGCATTTCCTTTTCGTATATACGGATAGCTCGCTCGTGCTGAGGGATACGTGAGATGGAGATATGGGTTTTGGCCACGTTACGTTGCCTTGTAAATCCTGATGGCACGGTGTAATATGACGGGCGGCTTACTGCAGCTGTCTACCACTCTTTCACCAACCTTTCCCACTGCCTTACTCACTGCTCACCATTTGTGGGAAGCTTGGGGAGCCCTGAGAGCTGGGCTTCCCGGAAAATAAGACCTATCACTCTGCAAGCGCACAGCACACAGGCTTGAGGCGTTGACAATAAATACTATCCGACCATCACAGGCGGCCAGCTAGCACAGCTGAACAAGCTGTGGAATCCAAAAACGAGTTGCTGGCTAGGAGCCTCACTGTTATCGTCGAGGGTTTACGTGTATCCACGTCTCACCGGCCCCCCCCTTTTTTATTTTTTATTATTATTTATTTTTGTGTGTGGGTTTGGTCGTCAATTGGGAAAGAAAGGAAAGGCCGTGGCGCGAGAACCATAGCGAACTAACTTCCACTTACTCGTAGGTTCATTCGGTTTTTTTTTCTTGCGTTTGAATTGTATGACGATGCGAAAAAAGGAATCCGATCTGTCGCCCGAGCCCTTTCTTTTTTTGTCTCCCTTTTTTGTCTTTTTTTTGTCTTTTTTTTTTCTTAGCGGGTTTGAAGTCCGCAGACCCCAAGTCGACGAACGCAGCCAAGTCATGTCTTGGCTTCCGGCTTCGCTACCTCAACGCCCCCCGTCACTGTGAGTACTGACTCCATGTAAGGAATAGCTGTGTCAAAGGCAGGTTGGTTGGGCCAGCCAATCCGTGTCGGGCGACGCCAGGGTGTTGGGGTTGAGTAGTTGTGTCCCAACAGGCCAGGGAGCACGTCGAAATGGGAATGGAATGAAATGAGTTGAGCTTTGCCCAAGCCCTGTGGTTGGATTGATCCTGGTGCTGCATCACTGATTCACCGAGGATTCAACGAATCATAAGGTGCTCAGGCATGTTGGGGCAACGAGAAGAACACATTTCGTCTCGAGTGTGGTGGTGGTGGTGGTGGTGGCGGTAATAATTATGACCAAACCGCTCGCATGTGTAAAGGGGACGCACCCCTCCCCCAGTTTGAAAAGATTGAGGCAAGGCAGACAGACAGACAGACAGACATTAGCGAAGTTGACGGGCGGTTCTTTCAACTGACTAGGCCAACCGTCTCCAAATGAATCGAAACTAAGCTCGCAGGGGCCTGGGCCATCGTTATAGATTGGCCAGCTAGGGATGCACCAAAGACACGTCTAAGACCTAGACCGATGTAGTGAGTGACTGAGAGAGTTTTGGTAAGAGCGTTTCGGCTTGCTTTTCTTTTTCCATTTATGCCTTTGCTAAAACCCCAGCGGCTAGCGACTTTGGTCCCCGGTCCTTTGGGCAGTGCTGACGAAATCCATGTCGGGTCGTCGCGCTGTTTGCAACTGCAGACAACAGGTTATGATGTGGTATATATCGAATCACGGCAGAGTCCAGGATACCGAAAGTCATCGTCATCTGCAATGCAATGGCGGGCGGTACGAGTTTCGTGTCGAAAAAATGGGGGCGCACTGAATGTGAAAAGGCAAACATCGATGTTCTCTCCCCGAAGCAGAAACTCGGAAACTCGGGAAACGCATTTCACTCTTTCCGGACCAGCAAGGCAACCGAAGGCAAAGCCTGTGCTGTGCTGGTTGGATATCCGCTGCCTCGTTGGCGTTCGAGCCACGTTTCGGTGGCGGATGCGGAGGGACTTTTGCCCTCCGTCGGCAGGATATCTCCATGGGAAAAGTAAGGTGTGGAAGTGATTATTCTGGAGAGACGGGAATCGAATTGATACGCCCCTCCCCTCCGTGAAACAAGGCCGCAACAGGTTGACTAAAGGTAGGTCCGTGGTCCCGGCTTTCCCTTTTGTACGGTAGCATTCTGATGTCGAATGACGACAAGATATGTAGAACCAATCGATAAGCTTCTAGATACACCGATAGACCGGTCGAGACGATCCGAGCTTGGGCAGGAAGCGAGCGGTCCCTTTTAAGACTACGATGTACTTAATAAACTACCTACCTACGAAGCGAATGATTAACTGCTTTCGATCTCGGAGGTTCTTTGGGGTCGTTGACGTGCTACGTGCCTTCTATGAATGAGAATGAGCGCAGATATTCTGTTCGAGGCATATTTGACGACCGTATCTACTACTTCGTGATGGACCGGTCATACACACCTTTCCAGGGTTGTCCCTCCAAGTGCACATGCAAGGCGAAAAGCGCGCCGTAGTCGACAAATTCTCAGAGCAGAGTAGCCACGTAAGAAGAGTCGGACATGGTTAGCAGGAATGCTGCATGTCTACGAGTATCCGTACATGTAGGCCGGTGAAAAGGTGCCTCGGTTGGTGTCCGTGTTATGCACCGTCCCGTGTGAGGCATGAGTCGCACGACCAAGGGCATACCTAGACTAGCATATATGCCTAAATAGGCTCTCAACTGACAGTGCTCGAATCCAGGCGCCAAGCACGTTGTGAGAATGGATATACGTGTACGGAGAGTATGTACGGAGACAGCAAGCATCATTATCCCGCCGACATCTACGAAGTAACCTAACCCCCCCTTGTAGCCCCCGTTGACGTGCTGCTTTGCTGCTTCTTCCCACTGAGCACAGATATAATCTAATACCTTGCTCATCTGCGAAGTACGATTACGGATACACCCCTCAATTCACTGTCCTTGCCCGGTCCTATGAACAGGGAGCGCCATGAGGGTCTGGCATCCAGGCCAAGGTTACAGGACCAGACTCGGCCCCGCTCCACTCCGCTCAGCAGGCGTTGTCTGTTGTATCTTTTCCGGTCACGCATGCCGATCACCGCAGGTTCTCTCAAGCCGAGAGGGCGGGGGGAGTCATCCGACCGAGACCAGCCACCAGGGTGCTTGTTGGGCGATTACGGAGTAATATCATAAGACTCGTTCACATAAGCCACCTCCTGATTTGTATTTTCGCTGGTTGGACAATAGTCCCGAAGGAAAAGAAGAAGAAAATAGGTAATCAAGAAGAAAAAGGGGTGGGGGGAGGGGTGGGCGGGGCAGGGCAGGGCAAAAAATAAAAAAAATAAAAAATAAACAGAAGCCTAATAAAATCCAAATCTAAAGCCGACCGTACCGAGCTGAGACCATTAGCCACTAGCCGTGGACGAGGGTCTCTCGTCGCATCCGTATCGGTGTGCTATGTTATTGTCGGTTCCCGTGCTGATGCATAACCACTATTACATACGGTACGTAGGCCCAGACGTGCTTGTCTTGTTGGCTTCTTTCATTCTGCTGCTGCTGCTGGACCGTTGCCGCTATCGCCGCCTCAGCTCGTGCCTCGCTTTAATTAGCTGATAAGTAAAGTAATAATGTACGTGTATTGTTGGGTTAGCAACCAACGACAGGGCGAGTACGGAGTACGTTGTAGTAACACGAGTGGCAGAAGGGACGAAGGCGCCCGGGCTACCATGACCCTTGTGCATCGCCCAGCGGCCTGAGTGCCACTTAAGTATCCGTAGTGTACTCTGTAGTCAAGTTTAAATCCTTGCTTGGCGCACTTTCCCAGGGTCTACACGTACAAACCGCCCACTTCCTTGCGTGGTCGGTCGTCTGCCATTGAAGCCAAGGTCTTGTGTTGAGGAGTTCCGAGGTATATTATTAATAATGTACCTTTTACCAGATAAACGCCCAGGAATCCCAGCATGTTACATGCACAGTACGTACCTAAACCTATTCGCCTGTGTTCATGTTCCTCCTTCTCCACCATCCCCAGTTGGTCTCGTCTCGATCACATTCATCAATGATCAAAAGCCCCCTCTTATTCCGGTCTCGTGTGACCTCCTCCTCTCGTCATCTTATCAACAGTTTCCCCCTTCCCTTTACTTTTACTGCCTCTGACGAATATGGATCGCTGCGCTGCCATCGGCCATCGGCCATCTGCCATCGGGACCATCATGATGCGTATCCGTACTTCGTAAACTCATCTGCCCCTCCCTTTCCCTTCCGCCCCCCCCCCACCCACCCACTGGCTGAGGAGAGCCTGTCGGTCCGGTCCTGGACAAACTGGACGCCACACACGATGCTGATCCTATGTGTACTCGCTCTTGCTAAAACACAAAAATCCATGCTCAGCTCGAACAACCGGGCTGTTAACGTGAGGGTCCCTGCGTAAAGCCATGACGGCGAGTTCCCACTGCTGCAGCGCATGCAGGTGTTAAGGTAGTCGTAGTCTTCAAGGTATTCTTAGGTATCCGTGCCTATCTATGTGCCTCACACTCACCTCACACCCCTCGCACGCCCCATGTTTTGTTATTTGGGCACAGGGACTCGCCAAGTCCACGATAAATGATTCGCAGTAGGTACCTCCTGACGGTGGGTGTCTGCTCTTCCGTACGTGAGAAGTAGTCTTAAAACAGGCAATTACTTCTTACTCCATAAGGTAGACGCTCTACTATGCGACATGAGGGGGAGGGGCGGTTTCCTTCTCTTCCCCTTTCTTCCCTTTTTTGTTTTCCCCCTCTCTGTGACACCTACCAGTGGCTTTCGAAAGGAGAACCTAATCGTCCCCAGCTGGTAGTATTATAGTATACTACGCCATCTCTCACTTACCCCTACAACCACGTACCGTACCTCCCTACCCTACGTGCGCAACCTTACTTCGTGTTGGCCGCCCTCGGACATGTTCAGCTGACCCCCGTTGGCCGCAGTATCCGGAAAGAGGGGACTCGGAGGGGGGTTAAGTCAGGGACGTCGCTAAGTGCAGTGCTTAGAAGGTACGTTGTTGGGTAGGATACGATACGTATTCCCCTTTTCCCTCCCTCCCGCTCTCCCTCTCTAAGGTCGAAAGGTCACTGGGTTCTGCGGACAAGGCAAAACTTCCGCCGTGTTGCCTCACTTGTCCTCTACATTTACCCTTTATCTACCCTGAAACAACTTACCATCGTGAAACACTTTTCACCTTGGAACATTTCACCTATCCACCACACTCGTTGTTCATTCATTGTTATTTCAACATTTTACCGTTTCTTTCCTTCTTTTGTTTCGTTTCTACATTATGCTAAGAGACTTGACAGTCGCGCCCAACAAAGCCCACCCTACCTTCATGCACCTGGGTCCTAACGTTACGTGACTTGCCCTCACGTCCATGATCGTCCAGCCGACACTTGGTCCAGCGCAGAGTCACCCATAGATTCACCAGAGAAGATCACTTCGCGGCCGAGGAGCGCGAGGATGGATGAAATGGATTGGGATCCGTCGGGAGTCTCACAGCCTGGTTGGCCTCGTCGGCAGCAACAGCAACACCAACTCCACCAGACCATTCAGCCTCCTCTGCCGACTATTCATCATGCTCAGCAATCAGCATGCCCAGCTATGGGGCACTTTGCCAACCGATCCTCTACCCATTACGATCCCGTCCACGCCTCGACCAACATGGAAATCTACCACTGGCCTACGCATACGCATACGCATGCGCACAGCCATGGGCATCCGCCCCATAATCATCATCATGGGCATCATCAGCATCAAAGGCCGAATTCCTCTTCAGTCCCGTTCTACGGCGCCCAAGCCCTGAATCAGCCCATGTCGTACCCTTTTCAGGGTCAGTTTAGCTACCAGGCGAGTGCGAATCCGAACCCGACCCCCAGCCCCAACCTCAACCGGAACGGTCCGAACCCGAACCCGAACCCGACCCCGACCCCGTCGATTCTCGTACCACTAGGCGGCAGCCACCCTCAGCCAGCACTACACCCCGTGCATTCGCATCCTGAGGGTGCGGTCCCGAATCCCTTCGTCGGAAGCCCCTTTGGAAATGTTCTGGTTGTAGGCGGAAACGGCGGAAGTCAATTTCCCCTAATCTCCCCGGTGTCCGTGTCCGGCGCCGTCGCTCCTTCCCCGCCCGCCCCGACGTCGGCGGGTTCCTCCACGGAAGGTTCGACCGTCCAGGTCAGCTCGGATACCGGTCAAAGCCAAAACCAGAATCCGCACACAAACAGTGGTAGGTACCAGATGGTCCCCTCAATTCACTTCGATTCGGAGCCACCGGCTTCCACCTCGCCCCTTCAAACCTCGATTTCCTCGATTTCCTCCTCTTCCGCCCATGGTACCCTTCCTCCTTCCCCATTCAGAGGGCATCGAACTACATCGACCTCCTCAGGTAAGTAGTTTATTTTCTAGGCAACCCACATATCCTGTCTTGCCCTTTTTTCCTTTTTTTCCCCTTCTTTCCCTTTCCTTTTCCCCCTACCCCCTTTCCCCCCATCCCTCGCAAAATCCTGGCAAGAAGGTTTGCAGCTCGTCGGCGATGAACCATGAATGTCAAACTAACCGTTTCGACGACTCATCATCAGTCTCGCCTCATCCGATGACTACCGCACCGCCCGAACATCAAACTGAGCGTCGCCGCTCAAGCAACCCCAGACGGCCCCAGCGGGGCCCCGCTTCGCGAATGAATCCTCCTGCGCCGCCGCCGCCGCCGAACATTGCAGAGGCTTATGGCTTGACGGACGACGTCCGCGCATCACAGGTTCTCCGAGGATCATATCGCACCAAGCTGATCGTCTCTACTGCGGCTCTTGAATCTTTGGAGATCGTTCCGCTGTCGGAACTACCGGCTAAGGATCGAGGTCAGTCGTGTCCTCCCCATTTATATGTCCCCAATTATATATATATATATATATATGTATGTATGTATTTGCTATTGTTCTTGTTGACTCACGGCGATGTAGACTGTGTTATCTGCTACCACGAGTTCGGCGTCAAGTCGCCGGAGGGCATCTGCGAGCTTCCAGTTAGACTACCCAACTGCAAACACGTCTTTGGCGACCACTGCATCAGAAAGTGGTTTCAGGATTCGGATAGCTGCCCGTATTGCAGGAATAAACTGCCGTCAGAAGCCCGGTTGGTGGCTCGGCCCAATTCGTTGGGTGCGTTCTACGCGCGAGATGTTCTGGCCGCGCGAGAACGTATGGCGGCGAACGCCCGGGCAACTCCCGATGCCAGCCCGAGAGCTGTAGCTGTGACACGTCACCCGTTGGCGGACGTGCTCGGGCTGGGAATTCAGTCCCCAGAGCGCCGTTCGCCGCCGTGGAACGGCGAGAATAGTCACCGTCGGCAAAGACCCCGTCACGGCCCGGTGGACACCAGCCTGCCCTGGGCCAGATTGGCTACCGAAGGAGGGGGAATACAACAGCAACAGCAGCAACAGCAGCAACAGCAGCAACAGCAGCAACAGCAGCAGCAGCAGCAGCAACAACAGCAACAGCAGCCGCAGGTAACATGGAGGTCTGGTCAGGGAGAAGGGTCTAATACAAGGCCAGAGACAGGGATAAGTTTGGGAACGCTGGCCGCTGGGCAGGTCCTAGGAAGTGGTGTGGCCGCCGCCGCTATTGCAGGAGTGCAAGGAGTGCAGGGAGCGGAGGGAGGGCAGGAACAGGCTGCATATGTGCCAGGAAGAGTGCAAGGGAGCGAAGATTCACGGTACCAAACAGCCACGGGGCCGAGCGACGCAGCAACGGCAGAAGGAAACAGACTGCCTTTGGCGACGGGTGTCATGAGCAGCGGAGAAGAGCAAGGTGTCAGCCTGGAAACCGGTCGAGGGTTCTTGATGAATCCTGTGGGCGCCAACAATATCGGAGGGGTGTTACCGACGATGGACTGGGTGGCTAATGAGGCTTCTCCTCCGATCTGGTTCCACCGATTTGTGGAATTTAGAGGCCGGTGAGGAGAAGAGACCACCGAGGATGAGAAACGCCACGTTGTGGCAGGTTCGACGATATGACGGCACGAGTGGACGAGGCCCAGCTGCGAAGAAGTATGGGGTTTGGTACGTGCGGACGACAGGCGTTCAAGGACCGATTTAAGGGGCGCAGCGAACGGAGAGCGTTGGTTTGCATTTCTACGGGATTGTG